CCCGTGGGTGCAGGGGGGGCCCATGGAGTGTAGGGGGGTCCCCCGTGGGGTACTGGGGGGTCCCCCGTGGGTGCAGGAGGCCCATGGGGTGCAGGGGAAGTTCCACGTGGGTGCAGGGGGTCCGCGGGGTGCAGGGTCCCCCGTGGGGCCGCGCTCACCGTGGGGTCGAGGAAGCTGAAGCCGGGCAGCAGCGGCAGCCCCTGCGCCGGGCGGGAGCTCATGGCCAGGGCGCGCTCCGGGGCTGTCGCCGGGCAACGCCGTCTCCATGGCGCCCGCAAACATTCCACGTTCCACCCCCCCACCAGTCCAGCGAATGCAGGGGAAACCAGGCGGAGCATGCGCAGTGCGGCCGCAGCCCGCTTCCCGCGCGGGGCTTTCCTTTGCGCTTGCGCAGTGGGGACTCCTGAGCTCCAGCAGGGTTGTGCTGTGTCAGGGCACAGCCCGGGCCTCTTCCAAATGCACCAGCACCCTGCACCTGGTTGTGCCCCCTCTGTAGACCCATGCAAAAGCACCACCCACTGGCCTGGCAGGGATGTAACTTGTGGGGGTGCCACAGACTGCAACAATGGCTTGAAGTTGCAGCAAAGCAGGTTGCCAGTAGTGCCAGGAAGCACTTTGCTGCTGGAGCAGGAGGCAGTGCAATAACCCCTGGGAAGCGGAGGTGTCCAGGATGAGGTGGTGCAGGGTGATAGGTGCAGCCATGCCGATGCCCTGCCACGGGCAGTGCCCACGCCTCTGGACTTTGCACACCAGCGAGCAAAACCAGACGCGGCACGTCCAGGCTGGCATGGGGGATGGCTGCTTGCCCAGCCTGGAAGGGCAGATCAGAGGGGCAAGAAGGAGCTGGGGCAGCAAGAAGAGGTGGTCATTGTGTCCGTCTTTGTCACTGGGCTACAGCCAAGCTGGCAGGGGAGAGGGGGCAGCGGGTGATGCAGCTGGATCCTCCTCCAGATGCAGGCAAGGTTGAGGGAGAGGAGAAAACCCGCCATTCTGAGATAAGAAACACAGCCTGAGCACTTCCAGAGGAGATGTATAGACTCAAGGCCAAATGGTACTGGAGGAAAAGGGCCTGGAAAGGAGCCACGAGCCAGGCATTTGCTTGCTGTCTCTCTGCTCCAGCTACCAGGCCTCAGTTCTGGTATTGATACAGCCCCGTCCGTCGCTGTAAGGACCGGAGCAATTCACAGTCTTTCATGCCCTTCTCTCAGCCCCGCTCTGAGGCCGGGCAGTGCTGGGACCCGAGACAAGAAGTGACTTGCCCAACATCACACGGAAAGTCGGTGGCAGAGCAGAGACGGGGACCCCGACAGTGCTGCCTGGGTGAATCCCTTCTCATCCCCTGCTCCCAACACATTCCTCTTGGGTACACTGGTCGTGGCAGAGGTTAAACCATTGATGCTTTCCTAGGACGTGAGGAATGGCAATAAAAACAGCAGCATATGACTCCTGCTCTTGTGGTTAAAGCACTGCCTGGGAACTCAGTTCATCTGGAGTCGGTTCCTTCCTCTGCCAGAGGCTGCCTGTGTGACCCTGGGCAACTCATTTAACCCCCATATGCCCATTTTGTTATCTGTAAAAGAGTGACAACAGTGCTACCTTTGCCAACCTTTTCTGCATCTCCTTCTATTTGGATTGTTAGCCTTTTTGGAGCCAAAAAGGCCTGTTTTCCTCTGTGCACAAACAGCACCCGATGCAGGGAGACTTGAATCCTGCTAGGGACTTGCAGCTATGGCCATAAAGACTGACAGTGAGAAAAGTCCAACTCCACGAACATCCCAGCAGCACAAGGGATGTGTGATGTTTCATCGGTGATTACGCCCCTTGCGTGATCTAACTACGTTGTATTTCACTGTGATTCTGCATGTGGCCGATTGATCCAATGCAAGGGGTTCCTGGTGAGACTTTCCCCTTGCTGTGCGCAAGTCTGTGACATATGATATAGGTATCTAGAAAGATCCTGATAATGGATGATTTACATTGAGAGCATTTTCTCATGGACTGACTGTTACCTCCCATCAGAGCAAAGCCTGGGGCTGGGAGACATTGAACAACTGGACATGGGTCGTGACTGCCCCTTCTAACACCATAGGAGATAGCAAGCTGGTGGTCTGATTTTCAGAGGCATTCAACTAGGACTTTCACTGAAATCAGTAGGAGCTGCAAACAACTGCTGAGACACAGGACGTTCATTTTTTTGTTCCTTTTTCTGACACTTGGGAGGAAAGAGTGATATGAAGCCATTGGCACTTTAAACCATGTGCCAACGGTGGATGCCAGTTCACTTCAAGACCAGACAACTTGGCATAGGTAAAAGACCCATGCCGTGGTCTGTTCCTGAAGATGATCATTACAGCAGGATCTGGTGCCTAAAACAAAAATCCTCCCCCCCTGTTGTTAACACCCCTGGGAATGAACAGAAAGCACTTCAATCCCTTTTGTAAAAGTTCCCCCCGGATGCTGGTTTCCTGCCTGCACTTGCTGTCTTGGGGCTGGGCTGGTTGCAGCTGGCTTCAGCGAGGTGGGATTTCTATCATCCTAAACAATGGTAGAAAAAAAAATCCCATACTACACCTCGCCCGTCATTATTATTCCTATTAAACAAACCCCAAACTTTCCTTACTCTTCTCTACTCTCCATTTTTTATCTTATAGAAGTATAACAGTGGACCTGGCATGTCCCTTTAACTGCGTATTGCCTTTGGGTCTTCTTCTATGAACGGTAACACTTGAAAGAAGCACATCCCTTGCCTAGAAACACATCTCTTGACCAAGGTGTAATCCTGTGGTGCTGGTTTGGTATTTGCTTGAAAACCACCATTTTTCCCCAGGTCATTTGGAAGGGAGTCCTGGCATTAGGCAGCACGCTGTCTGCCGCCCAGGGTGAGTGAACCTTGCCATCTCGTGGATGAAACATGAAGATACAGCAGTGATGGACACCCTTGCTGTTTTATTTGAAGGAAAAAAAAATAATCTTCAGTTTGGCAGGAGGAGGAGGGGGAGATATGTAGTCCCTCAGGCCCCTGGAGACAAGCCAAATGGGTGGAGATATGTCCTCCCTCAGGCCCCTGGAGACAAGCCAAATGGTCCCAACTATGCTCCCTTGGTTTAAGAGCTCACCAGGAAACCCCAGGATGGAAATGCATCCCATGTGTAGTTGGAGATGATCAGGTAGCTCTTGCAGATCTGGCCTTGCTTCAGCAAAACACTTAAGTTTGTGAGAGACCATCTACAAGCTCCTCTGCTTAACCTGAAAGACGAGCCAGAGGGCTTTGCTGAATTGGGACTTTTATTCGTGGTCCTGCTGCTGACAAACTCCCACTTAGGGTTGTGCTGTACCCAGAAGCACCATCCCACCTGCACGCTCCTACTCAAAATGTCAGATCCTGTAAATGAGGCAACCTGTCCATCATCCAACGGAGCTGAGCAAATGTCCACAGGCAGGCCTAGGACAGAGCTAAAGCTCATCACAGCTAATGATGCTAGGCACATGCTCCAGGCTGCTCAAAGGCAGCAACTTCACCTCCTTTCTGAGATCACGCACAGGCTGACCGGGAGCAAGTGGGCACGGCGGGCTTCATGCCGGTGGGCCCAGGGGTGTCATGGTGCAGCACAGAGGCGCTCAGACACACCCGTCGTCTCCCTACCTACGCCAATGTAAGCATTTGTGCCTTAACTGTAAAACGAGGCTAGTGACCAGCTCTAAGGCTCGAACAGAATTTTGCTACAAGCCCTAATGAAAGACAAGTACAGCATCATTTTTATGATATTATTATTATTCTCCTCCTTTTCCTCCTCCATGTGTGGTCTTAGAGGCCAAACTTCCACTGAATAACCCAGCAGCTGCAGCCACCCGGATTCCCCTGCTTTTCCGTGGATTGACACATTTCACATCACAAGCGTCGTACGGCTTTTATAACTTTCTTTTACTGGGGATTTTAAACGGTTGTCAGTACAGTGCAAAGCCTTGGATGTTCTCAGTGTTTTCAACAATACAAAATTCAGGATAGGTGGGGAGGACAGCTGGTGTGTGATACTCGCACCCCTTGTCGCTTCCCAGGTAACGGATGAACCCCAATATATTCATGTTTAGTAGTTTTCAGCTTGGCAGGAGGCAATGCTCGTCATCAGTAAGAGTTTTGAATACCAAGGCACGTGTGGGGCTTCAGCATATATCCCTGTTCTGTTATGTAAAGCCTTTGATGGAAATGCACCTTTAAGCTACCTACCATGCCCTCTTCACCAGGTCTGAAGAGGCTGCTTCTAACCCAAATCTCCCATTCCCCTTGGAAAAATCCTGAATGCAATGCACACCGGGCCAGCTGGCATCCTTAGTGTTAAGCAGCATAACTCCAATGGCTACAGCAGAGCTGTTATGATCTTTACTAGTTAAGGCCAGGCCCCTAGTTTCATGGGTTCACAAGCCCACTTCCCATAGGCAACCCACTGAAGATGGATGGGCTCAGCCTCTTACAACCAGGTCGCTGTTAGACACTATAAACCACTAGATCAGTTATGGCTGATCAGTCTGAGGAGGATCTGTTCAGTTTTGCATCATTCAAGAAGTCCCCAATGCTGGAGCAAATGATTTCGGGGATGCCTAAGGATGGCAAGTTCCAGCCAGCTGAGCATGAGTTGTGGGGGACACAACCAGCTGGGAAGCTGGTGCGGTGGCATTTAGTTTCTTAGGACCACCAAAGTTAACAGCAAACCTCTCCCTGACTTCAGAGGGAGCAGGATAGCGCTGTCAGCAGCTGCTTGGTACCTGGCCAGCCCAGGGGGAAGATGCATCATATCTCACAGCACAAGGTCCAGTGACATATAAGGCACGAGTACAAATCGACTTGGAAAGAGGGAGGATGGGCAAGCAGGTCTGATGACAGCTAGTTCAGGCACCGGGAAAAGAAGTGGGGGGCGGCGATTGGAGGTGGCTCCAGTGTCGGACAAAGCACCTTGTGTCTCAAGGACAGCAGCATTGGTCAGTAGTTCCCTGCAAAATCAGCCCCATCATTCCCACAAGAAGGTCAGTGGCTGGTCTGGCTGCAGAGAGGGATATGGGGAAGTGGATGGCATCACTCACAGATGCAACGTGGGAAGACTAAAAACACCACCAAGGATGCAATGGGGAAAAGTGGAATTGCTTTTTGACACCAGTAGGTGGTGATACATCTCCACTGAAGATGTCTTTCTAGGTTCTCCATGCCCAGATGGCATTGCTTTTTCTGTCCTTTGCTTGGGGCAGAGCGTGGAGCCTGGTTTGCAATGCTTGCAGAAGCAAAGGCCTGGTCTATACCCAAAGACTGTACCAGAATAATCATGTCTCTCAGTGGTATGGTTTGCTACGAGCAAAAAGAGGCCTACTGCAGGTACACACACAGTGTATACAGGTACTTACACCATAATCTTATGCTATACACCTTGAACAGGTGTCTTGCCCTTCCTGCAGGGAAGCATGTTTATACCAGCATAACTGCATCCACACTTCAGGGCAATACATTTTAACTGGACTGGTATTGCTACAGCAGTGATGCTCAGTCCAGGCCGGCTCAGGACAGCCCTGGGTGTATTGTGGCAGCTCAACGGAAAGCTCCTGTCCTACTTGTACTGCGATCAATAGAGACAGGAAGGGCGGATCTACACGTGCTATTAATGTGAATAAATAAATATTGGCATACTTCGTGCTGGAGTTTATTGCTCCCAGGTGCTGCATTTACACGTGCGCCCGGGACTGCACCAGCTGGCAGGAGACCCAGGGGGGTCAGCCTGCCAGCCCAGGGCTGCTATGACCCGGCTCGATGTCCTGCAGAGAGGCTGGCTAAGGCACAAGGGTACTTCCGTGCAGTGCTAACCAGCAGGCAGCCCCCACACTGAAGCACCCTCGTGCCCCAGCCAATCCCATCAGCGTCTGTACATGCACGGCGGTGCACTAAATAACATCGCCTCAGGACAGTACTTGTGTTTACAGGTACTAACCTATGGCAGAGTTAATTAGTTTACTGTGGCTTAATAGGGCTGAATGTGTAGACGCTGAGACTTTACTCCAGAGCTAATTAGGCAACTCCGCAGTAAACATCCTGGGTAGATGCACCCAAGTGCATGCCACATTATTTGATATACCCAATGCATGTAGGAAATAAAGTATCTGCTTGAAACCATGCGTGATAAACTGAAGAGCCACTTGTGGCTCAGGAGCAGCAGTCTGGGTCTTGCTGGGCTACAGGAACACTGTTCCATAGAAAGTCTTCCCCAAAAGGATAAGAGACCAACACAATGTCATGAAGACAACTGAGTAGTTGCCTCCTATTAAATATTTCTAGTATTGACCAACCCAGGCTAGATTTGAACCACGAGTGCCGAGTTCAAAACTTCTCTCCATACTTTAACCCAAGCAGCATCCCCCACACCCCATCCTCCACAGATTAAATCATTAAGGCTAATATTTTCAGATCGGGGGGCCTAGAGTTAGGCCCCTGAATCCAAAGAAAGGCACCTAGTATGTGGCTTGGTTTTCCGAGATCCCCCCGACCCTACCCTCCTCCATTTTTCTCTCCAATTGACCTTTACCCAGCAAAAGGTTATGGCTGACATCACAGCTTTCTGGGTGTCAAAGCCCACAACAAAAGGGGACTTGAGAAGCTCCTTAAAGCAGATATTTGAATGCTACAGCCAAGGCTTGTGGTGTGTGAGCTTCAGAACCACCTCTCCCAGCACCATCTCCAAACTCCCACTGTGTTTGGCTTTGCATGTTTAGACTAGGACTTCATAGGCCACATCCTCAGCTGGAGTAAATCAGCATAGAGCTACCAAAGTTAATAAGGATCTACACCACGTGTGAACCAGCTCGCTCAAGGACCACCTGAGCATGGAGACCAGGAACAGGACCTACACAAAGCACGGTGGCATATCCAACGGGAGGGGACCAGGGTGGATCAGAGGGAGAGACCAGAATGGACAATGCAAGAGGTGGGTACAGGCTGGCCCTACGAGGACTCTGCCTAGGCAGGGAATCCTAGAAGGCAGCTGATATGAAGCACCATTGATTTCAATGGAGCTACGCCAATTTACATCACAGCGTTCTGGCCCGGTGCCTCCAGTTTCCTATTTCCCACTGAAGCCAACACAGCAGGGACTCGGCCAGTCGGCGAATAACTTCCTATCCCGCCAGCCCCTTGTCGGTCATGTGGGGTGGTGGTAGTCACAGCCCGCTGCAGGAAATACATAAGCTGCCCCCTCCTCCCATTCCAGTCCCAAAGGAAAAGGCACTGGTGTCTTCTGCCATCCTCTCCTTGCAGCAGAGGGCAAGGGCCTCTTACACCATCCGCTCCATCCCTATGCCAGCACAGTACAGTCTGTGCCCTCTCCACTCCCTGGGCACCTGTTGGCGCTCTGCAGAAAGAAGCACGCAGGAGCAATTGGCCATCCAGGATAGAGAAGAAACCTGCCCTGAGGTCAGGACAGACCATCAGACACCAGGCAGGATTTGTCAGAGGGAGGATGAGCACATCCTTTTTATCTCCCTGACTCCTTTCTCCTCCTGTTATGATGTTTTAACTGATGATGAAATGTGGCAGGGTCCTCAAAGGGCACTGTTTGCCCCTCTAAGCATGCCACAGGCTGGATAATGGCGCATTAAAGCACACTGCTCCTGACCAGAACAGGACCATACTCACCGTTAAAGGAGAAGGAGGAACTTCATGCTGATTTAATCTTTGTCGCCTTTGTGGGCAACCAGGGAAAATGCTCTGTTCATAACTAGGCTAGAGGCACAAACTCGCATTTGACTTAGGCTGCCAAATAGCCAACCATATCATAAAGCCAGGATGCATTCAAACAACAGACCTACAACGGAAAAGGCCTGTATCCAGTTACCCCTCCCTGAGACTGTCTGCCGCGTCGTATGAAATTTTCATGAGTAGCCCTGGGACTCGATGTCTGTAAACACCTGCAGCACGACAACCCTGGGAGAGAAGATGGCTCTGAGCTCACATCACTGCTGCGTCAGCTGCCTGAGAAATGCTGGGCCAATGCCAATCAGTGGAGCAGAGGAAAGGCTGAGGTGTCAAGGCTAGATCTGGCTCTCAATGTCCCCAAAGTTTTTTGAGGGAGGGTGGAGCTAGAGGGTTAAACCAGGCCTATTGCTACAATGATTTGTCACAGTCACCCTACAAACCTGGTATCGATGAAGCCGAGGATGAAGGAGAGTGGAGAACGTGGTGGACAAGAACCCAAACCGGAGAAGGAGCAAGGACGAACTGGGGGTCTTTAAGAGGAGGTTAGACAAACACCTCGATGGGGTCGTTTGACCCCAGCACTTTTTCCTGCCATGGCAGGGGGTCGGACTTGATGATCTGCTCAGGTCCCCCCGACCCCACCAACTATGAAACTATGAAACCATGAATGCACCTGCATATCTTTCAACACCCTTGCAGCTGCACCCTTAATTTTAGACTCAAAGCACCCAATCCTGCTCCCAGGGACATGGTGCAATTGACTGCCACAGCAGCTGGATCCACCCCACAAAGATGGACAGACCCCAGTGAGTCATCTCATTAGTCTAGGACTGATCTTTGCCATATATTCTCCAACGTTTGCCAAAGCCATGAGTGACTGTAGTCATGGTGCTTCCCCATCTTCCCTTGGAAGACGGCTCCATAGTCTAATATAACAGCCCTTGGCTGAAACTGGGTATGATATCTCCAGCAGGCTTACTGGAGTGGAATGGACTAGAAAACTCTGCCTCACCCATGCGTCCTTGGTTAGGTGTCCTGATCTGGCATAAAACACCCCCCTGCCCTGCAGGAGCGGGCCACTCCAGCAGAAATGCCTCTGATGCAAAGGCTTGTCCAGCCCGAGCCTCCTCTCTCAGCCATGTCAGACAGACAGTGTTATGCAAACAAACCAGTTTAGGTCTATCTACATTATCCTCCTTCACTGGTTTCCAGCAAGCTGGACCCAGCCAGTTAGTATCTACTCCATCTCCAGGATGGCCTCTCAAGAGTCCTTTTTAACCAGCGCTGCCTTGATCCGACACCGCAAGAAGTAGGCTGTGACTGCGCTGCAAGCCACGAGGCCAAAGAACGAGCCGCAGGACACGTAGATGGAGAGAGGCCCGTGTCTCCTCTGGAAGATTTCCTGCCTGTTCTTGTAGTCTAGGAAGATAGCCTCCAGCTGTGAGAGCGTGCAGATGGCCAGGAAGGTGTGGAAGATCTGGTGGGCATGGCCAACGATGTCGCAGGACCCAGGGAAGTATTTCTCGGGCACGGGGCAGGAGAAGAAGTAAGCGCTGATGAGGAAGAAGAGGATCTGGAAGGTGTGATACCAGGCAGCCTTCTCCTCACACCCCCCCAGGTGGCACATGACCACCCGATGCGCCACCGGGCTGATGTCCAAGACGAAGGCTAGCCCGGCCGGGATCACTTGGCACACCTTCCTCATGATGGGATACGGGCGGCGGTATCGGTATTTGGCATAGCAGCAGCCGGCACAGGACAGCCAGCCGCAGAAAGCAGCTGCCGGGAGGAAGAAGAGCCAGAACTTATCATACCAGGCTTGATCAGAGCTGTAGTAGAAATGGGCCAGGGCACTGCCATACTGGTAGATGCTGACTCCGACGTAGTCCGCAAAGTAGAAGGTGTAGTGGGACAGCTCTGACTTAGACTGCAGCAGATGGGCTAGGAGGCTACACGTCAGGTAGGTGACGGAGGACAGGACAAAGATGAACAGGGGCAAGGACTGGACATCCACGGACAGCTCCTCCCCATCAGCAAAGGTTTTGAACCTCAGCAGCACTGCCAGGGCCGCCAGGAGGTGGGTCCACACATTCACCACCTCGTTGTGCTTCTGGAAGAGGCTGAAGAAGTAGTACCGCCATTCCTGCCCGGTGGGGCGGTATCCGGTCTGGATGTAGGGCTCCCGGAAAAGCTGGGGCACGTCCGACTCCCTGACAGTGCACGGCATTTTGGGGAAGCCTTCCTCCAGCAGCTTGGGCAGGCGGCGCAGCTGCTGCCCGCTCACCGACAAGGTGCTGATCCGCTCCAGGATGGCTGTCATCATGCTCCCTGCAGTAGTGGGTAGTCTGTCACCAGGAAATGTTGTGTTCTTGTCCTGCAAGAAGGAGAGAAATGAGAGGCATTCATGACCAAGAAAACCCCTGCAGCATGAAGCCCATGGTCCCAGGATGGGGGGGGAGGGATGCTTTCTGGAGCTCATGGGATGCTACCAGCTCATGCAACCCACTGCCTTAGTGCCCTCATCTCTCCTGCCCTTCACTTGCAGCAGACTGCTTTGGACCTGCAGTATGCAAGAGGGGCAAGAGCAGACTTCCCTGTGGACCTTTCTGCAAGCACAAGGGATTGGGATCAATGGCCCATGAGGCTCTGCCAGTGCAATGCCCCAATATTCAGTTTGATCTGAGCTGAAACCTCTCCCTAGGACTAGGTCTGCATGGGCATGCCCCTCCTCCTGTAGCGGGATACCAAGCCCCTCAAGACTCTGACCCATGTTCATGAAAATATGTCTATACCCCTGTGCAAGAAGCTTTCACAGCAGGCTGCTGAGGAACAGACAACCTGCTCCCATGAAGGTCTCACCCGAATCCCCCAGACTTTGGTTTAAACTTTGCTGCAGAAAGTTTGATATCCCTTTGTTCATTTTAACATTCATTACTACCCTGGCATCCTTATTCGCTGCAGGATCAATACAATGCAAATAAGGTGCAGTTGTACAAAAGCCTATTGAGCTCTTCTTACAGATCTAAGTATAAGGGGCAGACAACTAATACATTTACTTTGGAGGAATCTGACTTTACTCCTGGGTAAAAATGGATCGGACCCATGCTGTACAGCCTTATACCAGGGTAGATCATTTTACTCCAGGGTAAAATCACCTCCTCCAAAATGAGAAGCAGCTATACTACCGTGCGAGTTACACCAGGGTGTACTGATCATTTGTCTGCTCCCCAAATCTGTTTCCTCCTGGGTACCCCGCTTTGTGCAATACATATTGGGTTCCCACCAACTAATGGCCAGTCATTGTAACAACTCCTATTGGGAACAGCTAGCAAGGGAGAGCTCGTCGTATGCCTGCTCCTTACTGGGTGCCTTTACACGTGCAATTCATATGCAGCAATAAACTCCGGTGCCTGCTCCTTACTGGGTGCCTTTGCGCGTGCAATTCATACGCAGCAATAAACTCCAGTGCATATCATACCAAAGTTTAGTGCTCCCAGGTGCAGTTTTTACACATGTACCTGGGATCACAGCATACTGAGTCAGCTTGGAGCAGCCCCAGCTGGCAGGGAGCCTGGTGGGAAAGCCTGCTAGCCTGGGGCTGGTCCGATTCAGCTCAACGTGCTGCCAAGGGGCTGGCTGGGCCATGAGGGTGCTCCAGCACAGGGCTAGCCGGCAGGCAGCCCCCACACTGAAGCACCTTTATGCCCTAGCCAGCCCCATCAGCATCTACACATGCATTGCTGCAGAGTAAAAAAAAAAAAACTCCACCATAGGATAGTACTTGCATTTACAAATACTAACCTATAGTGGAGTGAATCACTTTACTCCATCCTAATAGCACTGCACATGTAGACACTAAGACGTTTACTGCAGAGCTAATTAGGCAACTGCAGTAAATGTCTCATGTAGATGCACCCACTATGAAGTAGATTCACTAAAGATTAAAATCCAAGATACATTTCTCCAAAACAATTGTGCCATGTGTCCATTCCTTAGGAAAGGGGTGTCCAACTCACCTGGCTCTGCAGGATGGATCAGGCCCCCAGACCCCCTACCCCACATGCTGGATCCAGCAGCTGTGATGTCTGCTCCAGCTGATCTGGGACTGTGCCACACATAATGCCTGCCCTGAATGCAAGTCCTGGACTGGCTGGTGTGGGCATCATGTCTGGCAAGCTCCCAGACCAGCCAAGGAGGACACTGGACCGCCACCCCCCACACCCCACCAACCTCATAGGCTGGATCTAGCTCATGCTCATGGTCTGGGACTGCACTGCACATGGGGCCTGCTCTGGGAACCATGCTGCACACAGCGCCCATCCCAGACCGGCTGGAGCAGGCACGGGATCTAGCATGCAGGGGGGATGTGGATTGGCCTCGTGTGCCATGTCCTGTCCATATGCATGGTGTATGGTGTGTGCCCTGGGCCCTGTGTACAAGGCTGGTCCAGCATGCATCCCCCGTGGCACATGGGTCAACTCAAGTCCCAGGGTGAGTACCGGGGGCCGGATAACATCACTCTGCAGCCTGCGAACCAGATCTTTGACATCCCTGCCCTAGGAGTACTGTTACCGCTTTGTTTAAAGATGTGCACGAGCATTTACAAGATCTGAGCCTCTCCCCTTAGCTGACAGGCATCCAGCAGCCACCACGTTGGAGACAAGTAAATCCAGATAAGTATTTTGTTTCAGGGCGGGAAGTATTTCCCTCTCTCTCTGAAGCACTGGATACTGGTCATTGCCAGAAACTGGCATCACGGCCGCTACGCAAGGGGTGTTGTGGGCAGGGATGATTGGCAGAGCGTTTCCTAAAGGACCTGGAGACTAACAGCTCTGCGAATCCTCTCATTGCCGCTTTGCCCTTAAACCCAGAGCAAAGGTTGGGGAACGGGACAACAGATCTGCAGCAAACCAGGTCACAAAACCTACCCTGGGAAGACAACAGGCCCAGCTTGCAAAGCTGTGGAAGAGGCAGAGAGGAAAGTCGAGGACGGTCATTGTGACCCTGATGCAGCATCTCGGTGTCTCCCACTTCCTCTACCAACTCGCCTGGGCTGTCAACACATGTCTGACTGCAACTTCCCAATTCCAGCAGGCACCGGTTGCCATACCCAAGATTACAAAAGGGTTTCTAGCACAGCCCCTGCTTCCCTGGCGCGCTGACCTCTCAGGGCTGTAATTTTCCATGATTGCCAAAGGGGAACTTGTTTGGTGAGATTGTCCCAACTCCCCTCGGTCATTTCAAGGTGACGCGAGGGCTCTTTTGCACATTACACTCGGACAAAACAAGATTTGAACGTGTTTTTAAAGCGGGGTTGTAGCAAATGCTGGCAGCCAGGTGAAATCTGCTGAGGGCTTCTGCCTTGGCCTCAGACCAGGAGGAAATGGTTTACATCTTGACTATGTGAGAGCAGAAGACCCCCTACTCGCCACTGCAGCAACTGTCCTGCAAGGGTGGGGGAGCAGGTAGTTGAATCCTGCATCCCAAGGTCATCCCTGAGTATAAAGCACAGCAGCTCTGGTGGTGTAGCTCAGTGCCAGGGTGGTTGTAAGCCAGGTTGGTGTGCCCCTTCCTGACCCCATCAATCCTGGGGTTATCCAAGTCCCAAAGCCATCTCTGCAATATGCTGGAGCAGTGTCAGGGCTGCTCTGTTTGAAGCTGCAGACCATCATGGCCCAACTCAAGCCCCTTTTCTCCCATCCGTGCTATGCTGCTATGCCCCTGGATGAGTGCAGTGATTCACAGCACACAGGCACTCAGTTCACCCAGACACAGCACGTGGCAGTGCCACCTGGCACCGACAGTGCCAGCAAACTGTGAGAGGAGCAAAGCAGCCAAGGATAGCACCCGTACCTCCCACTGAAACCTAGCGTGAAGCCCAGGGGGCTCAAAGTCCTGCAAAACCACTCAATGCACAGCAGTACCCAGTCCTGGCACAAGCATGGAGAGTGCAAGGAAGCTCCTTCTTGCAGCATGACACAAGGGCCATGAGCACTTACAGCTCTGCCATGCAGGGGAGATAGCTGTTCCTGTGCAGGGGCTGGCCAGGGGCCTGGGCACCATTTCTGTCCCTTGCCAGGCACGCTGGGTCACGCACAGGATGATCTCATGGCAGGGTAGCACGAGGTCACTGTTGAGGAAGTTGGGAAATTTTCTTAGATACCAGATCCTGTTAAGGGTGCAGCATTTACATTTATTGTCACCACACGCAGCATCAGGAAGCAGGCAGCGGCTAAAGAAAATGAAAACATAAGTTGGCGGCGAGGGGGGATCAAGAAAAGAGTCCATTCTCTCCCCTTCCCCAAACAGATCCACATAGGAGTTGTGTTTTGGGAAGTCACTAAGAAAAGGGGAAACCTCTCAAACAAGACCACAGAATCACAGAACAGAATCAGAGGAAAATAGAGCTGGAAGGGATCCCATGAAGGCATCAGATCCCTGCTCAGGGTAAGATTGTCCCCAACCATCAAGTCTCTGCCCAGCCTGCTCTTAGAAGTTTCCAAGGATGGAGATACCAACCCTCTCTAGGCAGCCGGCAGCAATGCTTGACCACCATCGTAGGCAGAAAGTTCTTCCTAACATCCCACCTCAATGCCCCCTGCTGCAGTTTAGGACCATCAAACCATGGGGTGGTGCAAGCTGTCTCACCAGCCAGGAGCAGAGGTGGGTAAATCTACCCTATTGCTCTATCTGGACATGGTCTTTCTGAACAGGCGAGGGGGCCCAGCTGGCACTGCAGGAGACTGGAGACAGTGCATGCGTCTAACATGGCATCACAGCTGTCTCCGGGTCAGCTCCTCCCGAGAGTCCTAGCCTGGGATATGCCATGCTGCATGGCCTCCAGCCTAGAGCTGAGCACAAGGGCACACCTTGCATCGCAACCAAGGCTGTGGCTGTTCCCGTGCTGGGAGAAGGCCCTATGCATCTTGCAGACCGGACCATCTGTATTGCCACGCAGAGCAGCCCATCGTCTGCTGTCTCTAGCTGACCAGCTCCCGACCCTGGGGTTTGCCTCGCTCCCTGCATGGCACTGTACGCACCGGCTGGCTAAACTCCCTAGTCCTACACTCCCCCCGGTGCTCCAAACCTCTTCTCTGGCCCCTGCCCTTTTATTGACTTTGGGTCCAGAAAGCTCAAAGAAAGCACAGGAACCTGCACTCCCCCAGGCAAAATGCATGGTTGAGCAGGGAGATCCTGAGATGAGCCACGTTGGGAGGTGGCCATATCGTGGCAGCCATAACTTCTGTGCCTTCTTGCCCATGAGTGGACCTTAGCTTTCTGCACGCCACTGGCCCCTCTCCTCCTACTACCCATGGGACTCACTGATACATCCCACGCCGGAGGGTTTGTAGCCAGGCCCCAGCTGACTATTCC